ATTACTAGAATTCTAGTAACTTTTCCATTGGGTTAGAAATATAAACTCCCTGGGGCTGGGGATTTAGCTCAGCGGCATAAGCACCTGCCTTATAAGCAGGCGGTCATGAGTTCGATCCCTGGTACCGGTAAAAATGAAAAAGACAAAAAAAAAAAAAAAGAAAGAAATATAAACTCCCTGAACTGTGATAAGGTCTGGAAAGGGCTCTCCATAGCTTCTTTCACTCGGTGCACTTTACACATGATTGAGAGTCCTACCCTAATCTACTAGAATCCTCAGGTAAGTGAGTAATGTTCTTCATAGTTTTCTGCAACCTAATTCACATGTGTGACCATGAAAGTCACTTCTCTCAAGGATACATAGGATATTGCAGCACAAATAAGAAGTTTATTCGTTCATTAGTTTAATATCTGCCTTGTCCTTCTCTGATGTTTTATTCTAACCTCCTTCTGGTGTCCATTGTGCAGCTTGCGCACTGCTTGCTGCTTGCTGGGTGTCTGCAGATCTCACATTTGCAAATGTACTGCTTTGTTAGCTGTGCTCAGACTGTAAATCACCTCTCATTTTCCCATGTTAGAAAGTATCAAAGCAAGGATAAATTTCTTCATGTAGTAATTTAATGTTTATAAATTTTTCAATTAAAATTATTCTCAAAAAAAACTATGGTGAGTTTAACAATCATAGCAATTTATTTATCATGGGAACCTTCAGAATGTTTTACAACTGAGCTTTGGGGAATGTTAAGAGCATCCACTGTAGATCTTGTTAGGCTCGTCTTTGTCTTCCCAATGGAAAATACTGTAATCTTTACTGTGTCATTGCTTATGGATTCACTAAATGTGTAGTTGGCACTTTAAGTGTCACTAACAGTTTAATTTTATTTTTACCACTTTGCAATAGTCAGTAAATGAGTTCTTTAGTAATTACATAGAAAAACCATTGTATTAAAGCAGAAATTGTTCCTCCCAGTTGCCAAGTTAATAGTTCCTATTCCAGATCCTGTTCCCATCTCCTGGAAATGTCTGGTCACTGAAGATTCATAGATGGTCACTGTGATGCACATTGATGCCAAGTGATGCACTGTGATCCCCAATTGACAAGCCATTCTGCCTCTGTACTTCCTGCTTGATTCTGTCATATATTCAAGAGGCCACCAGAGATCAGGGCCTGATACTTTGGAACTAATATTGATCAGTACCTGTCAATATAAATAAATCTACCTACAAGTCCTGGGGGTTGTTTTGATGTTTCTGCCTATGGTTGCATCTGGTGCAGTAGCTGGGAAGACCAGTCATGCTGTGGATGGAGCAAGGACATTTCCAGGTCTTGATGGAAAGGTGCACACTCAAGATTTCTGGAATCCTCTCAGATCTGGAGGAGGATTCCTGGCTCTCCACTCAAATGGCTCACATCAGACCCCAAAGGGAAGAGGACACAGTCTGTCTGTCCGTCTGTCTGTCTGTCTATCTGACTGCCTGCCTGCTTGATTCTGGTAGTACCCCCAGTTAGTCTGTAAGTCACTCTTGCTCAGTTTGAGCAGAAGAAGAACTTGATTAACTCTCGTTGATCAAGGTTGAATGATTGGGTGAGTGGAATGGAAGTGTAAGCAATAGGCTGTTCTATAGTATGAGCCATAGATTGCTCTGTCTGTGCACTAAGATTGGAGAACACTGATTGCAGAGGCTGATTGGACCCCCACCTGTGGTTCTATGGTGATTGACATATGGCTTAACAGTGGGCTCACACCCTCCTAAGTTGAGTTGCACTAAGTCTCCGTGAGAGGCATGGTCTGGCAGACATCTGAATGGTCTCTCAGAGGGGCAACCACCCTTTGTCTGCTGCAATATCATTCAAAGATACACAACATATACCATAGGGAGATGGAATGGCAACGAATTAGTTAAAACTCACAGTCCCTCATTGCAAGACACGGGGCCTTTATGGAGTTAAAAATGAAACCAACCTGCTACCTGAATCTCAAAGAAAAAAATTGATAATGGACCATTCTTCCTGAGAACTCCACATTGGCACCCTTGCAAGCCACTGCAGTTGGGCACCCTGCTCACAAGTTATCTACTTCCAGCCAACTGAACCAGTTCCAGTTTACTGACTGCGTTTTGCCACACAGGTTCCCTGGAGACATGCCTATCCTGGTCAGATGGCATCATCTAACAGCCATCCAAGACGACTCTTAGCAATTCTTTCTGTGTTACACAGTTTGACTGAGGAAAATAAGATTGTCAGCCCTGACAAATGAGTTGTTCCTTACCAAGCCTAAATAGATAGAATATACTGAGCTCTATCAAATTGGGCCCCTGTCTTTAAAGATTCCTCTGTCAGAAAGCATCCATCATTGGAGCAACTAGGACTCTTGCTTCTTGCCCCTTCTGCCAAGCACAAATTTGCAGCCTGCGAGGACATCTCCTTTGCACCAAGCTAGTCAGCCTCCTTCTCATTTAACCCTGCACTTTCAACTTTGAATTGTTCCCCAAGAAATAGATGGTGCCTGCATTAGCCTGAGGCAGATAACTATATACCCTGAAGTTGTGAAAACTCTCCCCACAGAGATAGGAACTAAAGACTCACGATGGGCCTTGCCATCAACCATGTCACCTTACTACTATCCCCACTGCTGTCAGATGTCATGGGAACAATAACTGGACTCTGTGCTTCAGTATGATAAACTTTTAATCACCTTGTGCAAATTTCCATGCCCTGAACAATGCATCCATCACCTTAGACCCCAGTTCCTGAGCTATACACCCTTTTAGGATGTTGTAGAATTATAAGATGCTTTCCTCTGCTTGTGACTTGCTCCCATAAGCCCCTTGGAAAATCCTGAGATAAAAGGCCAGCTCTGTTAGACTCAATTGCCATAAAGGATTAAAACTCCCTTGGCTCTATACCTGTGTCCTGCACAACAGTAAAGCCATTGTACTCGTCAAAAGAAGCCCACAAAGCTGACTGAGAGACTCTGAGATTCAGAACCAACCAGAAAAATTTTATTTTGTATTGCCAATGGACTCCAAGTCTGACCTTCCTCCCGCTTGCATTCATCACCCCAAGCTGTCGGCTGGCTGTAACACCACCACCAGCTCTGTCTCCTGCACCACAGTCTCCTGCTCTACTTTCAGCAATTCCTTCTGCCTGTTTAGTACTCAGAATATTACCTATTTTAGATGGCTTCAAGCCTGGCTGAAGTCAAAAGACCCTGCCACTGTGATGTCTGGATGAAAACTCCTTCTCCAACTTTGTGCAATGTGACAAAGGATGAAACCTAGATCAGTATTCACTGCTTTCCTGGCTGACTTCAAAGAAGGAGGCAAGGAGCCAGTAAATATGTCTAAAGTTACTGAAGTTACCCACTGAAATCCCCACTGGAAAGAACTCTGCCAAAGCAGATCCTGTGGGATTGATGGCAGTTTGTCAAACATGGATTCCTGTGCGTGCTTGAGTGCCCTGTACTTCTCCTAGGATGTGACAGGCCTCCCTCAGACTTGGTTCTACTGTCCCAGACTTGTTGACTCTGACTGTATCCCAAGAAGAGCAATGCACCCACCAGCCTTAAATGACTGACATTCATAAACCTGAGATTTCAAAAGACATTTCTCTGAATTCTCAGTTTATCTTTCCCTTTTCAAGAGGTAAATCAAGTATTGTACAAGGGATATGAAGATGAAATTATTTCTCCCTGTTTGCTATATTACACATACTGTGATTTGTGCTCCTTTGTGACACAAGAGCTCTAGAATGAATCAGTATTGCTTTATGTCCTGTATCTATATGTTCTGCCAAAGCTTCATGCATTCTCAACTGGGGAATTTCGGACATGGCAGGATCTACAGTGTGATGCTGGATTTTGATACACAGTGCTAAGATTAAAGGTGTGAGTCCTACTACTGTGGGTAAAATGTAAGGACAGAAAGAGGGTTGTTGTCGTTTGTTTCATACTGCTTACTACTTTTGCAGCCTTCTGTCTGCCATGGGCTGTTTCTCCTCTGTGATGCCCTCTGTGCCATGCCATCCTATGTTGGAGCCTGTCATGCATTGAAATTTCTGTAAACATGAGCCCAGATAACTCTTACCTACTTTAATTTTAGGTGCTGAGTATTTTAGCAGTGACAAAAAAGTTAACTGACATATATTCTATTTACATGCCAGCCCATTGAAGATTTTTAGTTTGTCATTCTTTCAAATAAGTAGTGTCCTTCAAAATGGATTTTGAAACTCTTTATCTTAAAGAAGCTGTTCACATTGCGTGTATGTTTGGTACTGAAACCATTTTTGTCTTTCATTGTATCATTTATTATTAGTGCTTGTTAAATTTTCAAAGTGTTGGTAGTCAATATATTTCATGTTTATTTTTATCATATTCATCTCCCATTTTCCCCTCTTAGGCCACTTTTCAGGTCACTGAGTCATAGGATAAAAAGACTTCCTTAATCTATTTTCACAGTTCTTAGATGCTTTCCAATAAAAAGTGTAATTGTTTTCATTATCTCTCCAAATTAGAATTCATACATCTGCTTAGTGTCTAAGCCTTTGTCAATGAAAGCAGCTTGAAGTTTTAAAATGTTGTCTAAATTAGAGAAGAAAACAATCAATTCCCCGAATAACAAACTGAAAAAAAAAAGATATTTTCTTTTGTATTTTATTTGCTCCTTTAGAGTAATTCATCAGATAGTTTTCTATTTACTTTTTGCACTTTGATTCTGATTTACAGGATCCTTCCATACCATGCTTTAGTGCCTTTATACAAGTATATCCGAGTTTAACCAGCAAGAGAAGCAGTGCTCCCATTCAACTGTTGGGTTAGCACTAAGTTCCAGTGTTGCATCAATTTTCCTGTATGACAAGTGCAAATGGATAAAGAGTAACAATCTGATGAGCAAGACATGAAAGAAATATTTGGAAAACTGTATATTAGCTTTTTATGAGTAGAGCTGAAAATGTTCATGTTTGTATCTTACTCTTCTTGAAAATATTTTTTGATGATATAGGAAGCAGTAACCTTCAGTGATGTGGCTGTGAACTTCACCAGGGAGGAGTGGGCTTTGCTGGATCCATTCCAAAAGAAGCTCTACAGAGATGTGATGTTGGAAATCTTTAGGAACCTGGCTGCCATAGGTAAGGAGGATATAATTTTGTCATTCATGCAGTTGGAGAACATTGGCTGGTGCTCACCAGTGTGGTTTGCTTAATGGGAAAATGGAAACAGTAGAAAGCATCTACCAGGCATAGTCACATTGTAATGTGAATGGAATTAGAATCGACTGATCTATGTGTAGTAAGTCATCATTTTTCTGTTTCTGTACCTTAGGAGGGATGTCAGATGACCAGCAAATTGAAGGCGAATACAAAAATTGCAAGAAACATCTACGGTAATTTGTACTCAGAGAAGAAATTCCCTCAAGTGTCAGAATAGTAAATCCAAGCAAATTACACAAAAAAGACCATTTTCAAACTTCTTTAATCTCACAAACGTTCTTAGTGGATATACCCATTGAATATGTCTCATCTTAACAATTGAGTATTTGAAGTATTTCAATATCTGAAATGTAGGTGGTACTGATGCCAAAATAGACATTCTATTTTATACAACTCTACTTCTTTTTGAGGCAGGATCTCACAATGTAGCCTAGGTTGGCCTCAAACTCACAGTGCTTCAATCTCCTAAGTACTGGATTACAGCCATACACCACCACACCCAGCCATTCCAACTATAGTTTTACTACATATATTCCTCAAAATGTTAATGTAAACATATTATAGTGGTGCTTAAAAGCACGTTTGTAGGGCCAGGGATTTAGCTCAGTGGCATAAGCACCTACCTGGCAAACATGAGGTCATGAGTTCAATCTCTGATATCACCCCCCACCAAAAAAAACCCTACACATTTGTAGCTGCACAACCTAGAAAAGCTAAACTCTGGAATAAGCTTAAATGTCCATTTACAGATGAGTTGATTAAAGAAAAATGGAATAGCCTGGGCATAAATGACATGCTTGTAATCCTAGTATTCTAGGAAGCTGAAGCAGAAAGATCGTGTATTTGTGCTCACCCTGGCATCCTAATAATTGATGAGACCATTTCAAAATAAATATAGTAAAACCCATGCATGTATTTTAGTGCTAAAACCCTGAGTTCAATTTCCAGCACTGAAAATCCTATGATGTGTGCCTATCGTATTCATCCACAAAAGAATGAAGTGATGGCATTTGATGAAATATGGATGTATCTAGAGCCTACAATATTAGATTAAATAAACCAGACAGAAATTTCAGTATCACAAGATACATTTTGTATGAGAATCCCACAACATTAATTAAGGAGTAAATAGATGAGAGATGGCAGGAAAGGCAGAGATAGACATTTTGGAATTGGCAAACAGGCTCAGTGGAAGGAGAGAGGATGGAATCATGAAGGAAAAGTTGTCAGAAATCATCAGTAGATGGAACATATTTCATTAAGATGAGTTTTCTCAAAATTAAAGTAAGTATTGTGTATTGTAAATGGGTTGATTACAGACTCCCAAGTGCTCTGTAATCCCAAGGATCCCAAGTGAATCCTTCTATTTGGGGAAAAGCTGTGTCCAATCATGCAAAGTGTACCGTAAGTGGAAGACTAAGTATTTTTAAGGGCACCAAAGCAGATCTCCTCATTGTGAATCTTCACTAAAAGACACTATTAAATATGACTTACTGTTTTGGTGCTCTCTCTTTTTACAGAACTGAGGAGGTAGAACAATCCTGTCAATATAAATTATGGTATCAACATGGCAATATGGTTTCTCAGACTCCAGATACAAATGTGCGTATGACAGTAGTTGGAATACACCCAGGTGAATGCTTCTCCAGAAGGCCCCTGTATGAGCAGCAGGAATTTCAAGAGAAGCGGTCTAACTATGATGAATATGGCAAGTCATTCACGAAACTCAAGTGTTTTCAGAAATATGCAAAGGTGACTCTCGGGGAGAAATTCCATGAATATATGCCATGGGCAAATTATTACTCTGATTACACTGAAAATATTACCGTTTGGGAGAAACCAGATGTCAAATCATTCATTATACCCAGTGATGATCAAATTGGGAAAAGACATCACCAAGAAGTGAATATGTACACATGTGTACCATGGGGAAAAGACTTTAACACTCACTATGATATTCAGACAGATGAAACAGCTCACTCTGGAAATAAAACCCATGTAGATAAACACTATAGAAAATCTTTCACTAACAATTCCATGGATAATCATAAAAGAACTAGCAATGGGGAGAAACTCTGTGTATGTAAGCAATGCGGGGAAGCTTTCAGAAGTGAACATCATTGTCAAATGCATGGGGAGAAAGCCTATGCATGTATGCAGTGTGGCAAAGCTTTGAGAACAAGTGGTGTTTGCCAAAATCATGAACAGACTCACACTGTGGAGAATCCATATGTGCATAAGCAATGTGGGAAAGGTTTCAGCAGAAAACATCACTGGCAAATGCATGAATGGACTTGCACTGGGGAGAAAACCTATGTATGTAAGCAATGTGGAAAAGCTTTTAGCAGAAAAAGTAATTGTCAAGTGCATGAAAGGATTCACACTGGGGAGAAACCCTATGTGTGTAAGCAGTGTGGGAAAGCTTTTAGCACAAAAAGTAACCATCAAGCACATGAAAGGTCTCACACTGGTGAGAAACCCTATGTATGTAAGCAATGTGGTAAAGCTTTCAGCAGAAAAGATAATTGGCAAATGCATGAACGGATTCACACTGGGGAGAAACCTTTTGTATGTAAGCAATGTGGAAAAGCATTCAGCACACGCCGTAAGTGTCAAATACATGAAAGAATTCACACTGGGGAGAAACCCTATGTATGTAAACAATGTGGCAAAGCTTTCAGAACAAGTGATGTTTGTCAAAATCATGAACGGACTCACACTGGGGAGAAACCCTACGTATGTAACCAATGTGGAAAAGCTTTCAGCAGACAATACAGTTGTCAGGAACATAAAAGAACCCACAGTGGAGAGAAACCCTATGTGTGTCGGCAATGTGGGAAAGCTTTCAGATCACAGAGAAGTTGCCAAACTCACATATGGAGTCACAGTGGTAAGAAACCTTATGTATGTTCACAATGCGGGAAACCTTTCAGTAGCAAAGCAGGTTGTCATTTACATGAAAGGACTCACACTGGGGAGAAACCCTATGCATGCAAGCATTGTGGCAAAACTTTCAGAACAACTTCTGTTTGTCAAAGTCATGAACGGACTCACACTGGGGAGAAACACTTTGTATGTAACCAGTGTGGAAAAGCTTTCAGCAGACAATATAGTTGTCAAGAACATGAAAGAACCCACAGTGGAGAGAAACCCTATGTATGTCAACAATGTGGGAAAGCTTTCAGATCACGGAGGAGTTGTCAAACTCACATATGGAGTCACACTGGTAAGAAACCTTATGTATGTTCACAATGTGGGAAAGCTTTCAGCAGCAAAACAGGTTGGCATTTACATGAAAGAACTCACACTGGGGAGAAACCTTATAAATGTAAGCAATGTGGCAAAGCTTTCAGCACAACAGCTATTTGTCAAAATCATGAACAGACTCACACTGGGAAGAAACCCTTTGTGTGTACACAATGTGGCAAAGCTTTCAGCAGGAAAGAAGGTTGGCAGATACATGAAAGGACTCACACTGGGGAGAAACCCTATGTGTGTAAACAATGTGGGAAAGCTTTTAGCACAAAAAGGAATTGTCAAATACATGAAAAGACGCACATTGGGGAGAAACCCTATATATGTAAACAGTGTGGGAAAGCTTTTAGCACAAAAAGAAATCATCAAGCACATGAAAGGGCTCACACTGGTGAGAAACCCTATGTATGTAAGCAATGTGGTAAAGCTTTCAGCAGAAAAGATAATTGGCAAATGCATGAACGGACTCACACTGGAGAGAAACCTTTTGTATGTAAGCAATGTGGGAAAGCCTTCAGCACACTCTGTAAGTGTCGAATACATGAAAGAATTCACACTGGGGAGAAACCCTATGTATGCAACCAATGTGGAAAAGCTTTTAGAACGAGTGATGTTTATCAAAATCATAAACGGACACACACAGGGGAGAAACCCTATGTGTGTAACCAATGTGGAAAAGCCTTCAGCAGACAATATAGTTGTCAAGAACATGAAAGGACCCACAATGGAGACAAGCCTTATATATGTAAGCAATGTGGGAAAGCTTTTAGCAAAAAAAGGAATTGTCAAGTACACGAAAGGACTCACACCGGGGAGAAACCCTATGTATGCAAGCAATGTGGGAAAGCTTTCAGCAGAAAAGGTAATTGGCAAATGCATGAACGCACTCACACTGGGGAGAAATTCACATCAGTGTTTAGTATGTGGAAAAATCTATAGTCATTTTGGTATATTTCATGTGGCAAGTAGTATTGTGAGAAGTAATTAATATAAAGGTTGTGCACAAGTTATCAGTTGTCCTTCATGCAATAATGTATATTAAATGAAAACCATGTGAAAGTAAAAAGGTCTCAGGTATAGTTCATATATTTTTTCCACAGCACCAGGAATCAAACTCACGACCTCACACTTACCAGGCAGGCACTTATGCCACTGAGCTAAACCCCCGGCCCCATATAGTTCATATTTTACAAGTCCTTTGATCACTTCTCATACAGTTTAAAACTGAAAAATGAGTTGTATTAAAATGGGATATCGATTGTTTCTCCATAAAATACATATGTGGAGGAGATACGCTAACATATAAATATTGTAATCTTAAGTCTTAAGATATATATATGGGTTAAATAATTTTAAGCTGTCTTTGATTAATAAATGTTGTAACCAGGAGTAGTGGTGCAATGCTTGTAATTCCAGCACTTGGTTGTCTGAGGCAAGAGTATCATTGTGAGTTCCAGGCCAGCCTAGCCTACATAGCAAGACCCTATCTCCAACAAAATGCTGTAAAGCAGAAAAGATAATAAATGTGCTCATATAATTCTAGATTTTCTTGTGTGCAGTAGCATAGGAATCTTAATATTGTCTCTTAAAGTACATAATAATTGCCTTTACTTTGTGGTATGTTAGATACAAAGGTTAAATGACTCACATTTCTTAGGTGACAGTAGCCTCAGTATTCTGTAGGTCATTTCTATTTTTCCTTCCTTTTTCTGTGTTTAGTAATTGTGTTAACATGCATTCAAAACTGAGTTTTCCTTTACTGTGATGTTTTTTCCATACCTTGTATTTGAAGCTTTGCTGCACACCGTCCATTTTTCTACCAGGAATTTTTAATTGAATGTCACATTTTACAATTTTATTACTAGTAATTTATGTGCTTGAGTTTTCATACTTTCAAACATGTAAATTAATATGTTTTTAATATTTTTTCATTGTGTATTTTTTAAAAGCAAAAGGATAGAAATGATACAGAATTTCAAAAATCAAGAAATAGAAAATTAACACTAGCATATATATATTATAGATATATATATATCATATATATATATTATATATATATATATTTGAAGGTAGTACAAAACAAGACACAACAAAGCCAATCAAAACAATGCAGTGAAATTGGTATAGAACTTCACAGCAGGATACTGGGATAACAGTAATAGATGCCATAGTATATCTTGTTATCTTCACAATAGTTGTCCATTCAACCAAGTAGAGCAAAATCAAGCCAAAAACAGCACATTATAAAGCCTATCAAAACGGAATATTGAATAGAGCAAGACAGTTGATTGGGACAGCAAAACAGTGAAAACAATATTTGCCTTCAAAGTTAAGATAGAAGGAAATCTCCCATATTTGCTATATTGCATTCTATCATCCTCCCAAGAGATGTTCAGACCTCTGGCCTCAGGTCAGCATAATCAACCCAACAATACAAGCATTTAGTTGCTTTATGTGCCTTAGTTGCTATGAACTCTGGCTGTGCTCCACATATTCCAGAACCTGCTAAATGGTGGTGATGGGGGTGGGATGTTTGATTCTTAGCCTGTGCGCTGGTAGGTTCCCGAGAGACACGGACTTGTTCTTTTCCTGGCTCATCTGCCTGCTCTCCTGCACTGCTGCTTGTCAGGATGAAGGCCTTGTTGCTTTCTTGTTCAAGCCCCCAAGATCCAACAGGACTGGATCTCTGGAGACACTGACTTGTTCTTTTCTTGGTGCACCCGCTGCTTGCTTGTGCTGCTACTTGCCAAGAGGAAGGGCTTGCTGCTCACTAGTTAACATATTGCATAATGTTATCTTGAAAGTAGTTCGCTCAGATTACAAGGCATAGGCATGAAAAAAAATGATCAGATAGTGAAAAAACAAACTATTCTTTTTGATGAACAAAGATTAATAGTATAGTTATCTAGTATATATTCACACACACATATATATGCATGCTTATGTATATATATAATTTTTTCCCCTATCCCAGTTGTTCTTTCCTAAACAGAAACACTCATATTTTCAATATTTTAAGAAGATGACTATATCTATCCCAACATAACTACAGATTATATTCAGTGCACAGTTTTCCCTGGTTTTTCCCATCAGAGCCATTAATATCATGTATGTACAATATTAGTTATCTTTTATCATTAAATTTCACTTTTCATGATTCTCTTGCCAGGGTTTATTTAGGATACTATTTTCCAATCCACCATTCAAAACAAAAATCTGTGTTTTTGAGAAAGCCTCACTGTCAGAGAGCAGCAGAACCATGTGTTGCCTCAAAGAAGATACAATGTATTGTAATGCTTCACCTCTCCACCAGCTACAAATGTGGGTATCATCTGTCATCAGGAATACTCTCAGGAACTTGTGACTGTGTTAATGTTTTTTTGGATTTGTTTCTATTCTTTCTAATGAAGTAGGTTTTCTTTTATACTAGAAATACCATCTGTCTGTGCTTTGGATGATGATGTTTCTTTTAAACTGGGAAACTCAAAGCATGTTTGTTGCTGCTTTTTTTTTTTTTTTTAAACTGGGACCTGAACTCAGGACCTCATGCTTACCAAGTTTTTAAAATAGAAATTGAGGAATTTTTGTGATTCACTTGTGTTCTGTTTTATCAGCTTTAGAGAGAAATGCATAGTGGTGTTTGTCATCGTGAATAGCTACCACTGTCTGATGACTGAAGAAAGTGATGTCATTTTCGCTGCATAAGACTTGTGCACGATGCCTATGAGACCATCTAGCATCTTTCCCTTATTGTGCCTTCTTATTTGCTAGTAGTGCAGTGCTTTGTAAAATATCCTGCATTGTTTTGTCCTTTGATTCAGTAGCTGCTCAGTTTATCATGGGTTTGCATTCCAATAATGATAGGAGAAAGCATAAAAGACAAATGAGATAAGTAATTCTACTAGTGTTAACAGTGTCCTAAGTTAACTATGCTTAAACAATTAAATTAACCATCAGGTGGACAATATTTTACAAGTTCTGCCTTATTTATTTACTAGTTTTGAGACAGGGTATCACCATATAGCCCAGGCTGGCCTCAAAGTCATGGCAATCAAAGGCAGTTTTTACAAGCATTCACCACTACACCTTGGCAAAAATTTATGTCTAGTTTAAAATGAAACATTAAATGTCTCATTTGCTTTATGAACTATACTACATTGCAGAATATGTTACAACCATGCACAAGCATAAACATGTAGCTAATAGTATTGCAGGTTATTTCTAATTATCACCATTGAAACATTGTATATTGCATAATACTGTTTCAGCCAAAGGAAAAGTGGAAATAGAGGTCATTTTGTCCTGAGCATATTTATTTTCTTCCAGTTTAGCATCAAAAATTCTTGCTGGTACTGGTGGTTTCTGTCTGTAATCCCACCACTCAAGCACAGGAGAATTGCATGATTAAAACCAACCCATGCAGCTCAGTGGAACATTAAAACACAAAATGCTGCAGTGTAACTCACTGTATTAATATTCTTGGGTAAGCCATGTGTTTTATCTGCCAGGCACCATTGCATAGGCCTGCACTCCTGACACATGGAAGGCTGAGGCAGGAGGATCTGTGTGAGTTCTAAAATGGGCTACATAGTGAATAAAAGCCTGTCTAGGGGGAAAAAAACTTACTAAGCAACAATATTGATCTGTGCTTATTTGTTTCCTCACTTTTGTTTTATGATTTAGTCTCTACTTCCATAATTACATAATTTTTACTATCACAAATCATCCGTGATTCTGTTTTCCCATGATTTTTCTTCAGTCCTATAGGGAAAATTTAAGCACACATACATGGATCTTCAGCAAAGCTGTAAAGCTCCCACTTTTTTTCTCCCATGGTAGTTTGCATGTTTTAGCATATGACCTTCCCATGTCTCAGACATAAACTTCAAATATGCTGAATATAATTAATGATTTTATGCTTCTTCAAGCCATTAAAATCAACAATGCTGAGGATTAATGGAATGAACACATCATTGTAGAAGAGCAGTTTATGGTTGTAAATGGCCATGTCAGAAGAGCAGAATGAGTCCTCATAAATAATCTAATTGTGCACATCAGAATCCTAGAAAAACAACGCACCAAACACAAACCTCCTACAAAAAGTAAACTAGAAAGTTGAAAACAGAAGTTGATAAAATTGAGGTTAAATATCACAATCACCTGAATAGATGCCGAAAAACCCTTTATCAAAATATAGCATGGAGAATTTTTTTTAAAAGCTCTACGGAAAAAAAGATATAAAATGACCTTACCACAGTCCGATTAAAAGTCGCTTGAAAAGCTTACTTGGAATATTACATTAAATATGAAAACTTTTTAAATATACTCTAACAAAGCCCAAGCATTGAAGGATGAGTAATAAATAAATAAATAGGAAACATATAGAAAAAGATGGCTAACAGATGAATGGGTAAAGAAAATATAATTATCCACAATGGAGTCCTTTTCTGCTGTACAGCACAATAAATTGGAGTCATTTATAGCAACAAGAATGCACCTAAAGGCCATATTAAAATACATCAGACAGGGTGGGGAAAATAGTCTAATGGTAAGAGAAATCAACCCAACCTCTCTGAGATCCAGGGTCCAAGCTGGGGAAAATAACAATTTGCAGACCTTCAGGAAATGGGGGAGCTGCAGGGAGAGGTTGTAACTTTGCTCCCTGTATTTTTCCACAAGCAGTGGCTGCAGAGTGACTCTAGGACATGTGCCCAATACAGCCTCGGAGATGTTAGATGGTCAGATCCATCCAGGGAAGGATTTTTTGATTGATCAAGCTCAAGACCCAGAGTAGCCACATGCTTTCCTGGGCTCCCTTTGTTACCTTCACCCAGGAACTAGGTGAGAGATGAACATTGGAGACAGCTGAGCTCAGACAGCAGGCTGGAAAGACACCCCAAGAGGCTTCTGAGCTAAAGGCCCCAGGCCAAAATTCCATGGCAACAGCCCAGGTGCTGCCGACTTCTTTGGAATTGAAACACAGCAATGTTGTGCTTGTCCTAGCGTCTGGTGGTGCTGGCATCCAGCACAGATGTGGATGCTGACTCCCTTTATTACCTGCATGAG